TTCCATCTCGAAAAAAAAAAAAAAAAAAAAAAAAAACGATAAGAGATTGAAATAAAAGGGAGAAACCTTTTACTATACTTTCGACTTTTTCCTCTGAAGTCATTTGTTCAACATTTGAGGATTCTATTGGCATGACTAAGTTTAGGAAATGACTTTGGTACCATGTTAAATTGACTCTGATACCATGTTAAATTGAGAATGTTAAGAATGAGAAATAAAAGTGGGATCAAAAGTACAGTTTTCATTGATGTTCACAACGTTCAATTAGCTATTAGCTACTAACTAATACATAAAAATAAAGGGAAAAATATAGATTAATTAAATTTTCAGAATAAATAAAATATATTATTAATTAAATCTTGAAGATAAAATATTAACGGATTACGAATATCTAATATATATTTAATAACTAATTATTTTAATATATTATCCAAATATTATATAGAAGTTTTGGTACCATGTTAGATGAACACACTATCCACAACAATAGTATGATATTGTCCCCTTTGAGCATAAGCTCTCGCGATTTTGCTTTTGCTTTAGTTTTCCAAAAGGCCTCGTGTTAATGGGAATAATTTATAATTTTGTTTATAAATAAATAAAATAAAATGAAATGAAAATATTAATTAAAAAAAAAAAAAAAACTTGATTATTCTATTTTCTCCGTATTTTGGGATAAAACAAGATGGATAACTTGCATTCCGGGAAAGGAAGGTCGCTTTATTCCAAGTTTCCTTCCGAACAGGAAAAGGAAATGTGTGGCAGAAGCAGTGTATGATTTTTTGTTTTTTTTTTTTTCAGATACAAAACCTCAGGAAATGATAAATTTCGTTATGGTTGCTACTAAGGCGGGCATCTCGATCTTCCTTTACTCGAAGAACCGATTTCAATCACAGTTGGGGGCTGCTTTACGAGGTCTGTGATCTTCAATCGCCGTCGCTGCCGTCTAGTATGGGACAAATCTTGGGGAGATTTGGAGGTAAATTGACCTAACTTCACTTTTCGTATCCTTCGATTTTGAATTCGTTTTCAGTTTTCTGTTTGGATCCGTCGATAAATTGATTAATGGAACAAGCGAAATGGCGAATGCATAGTCACAGAGTAGATCATACCGAGATCGATCTTATTAGTGATATGCGATTAATCTGCAATTCTTCCTCGTTACTGATATTGTCTTAGACTTCAACTGATGAACTTACCGGTTTTGTTTCTTGTTTGGAGTGTTAGATTAGCTGATTTGTGCTGTCTCTGTGGATTTGATACCGTGTCTGCTTGCAATTGAGGGAGACAGACAGGATTTTTTATAAGATTAGAGACGGAGCGATGATTAATTAAAATATTCTTAAGCTTTTGTCCTTTCTGTTGCAGGAGAAGAATGGAGGAAGAAGAAGTTGAAGACGATATCAGACAGGATATTCGAGAAGATAAAAAAAAACAAATCAGCTGAGGAGGAGCTGTCATTTGAAGAATTATATATTGCCACGTTACTTGTGTTCAAGTAAGAAGCTCTATTATTTACTTCACATTTTTCCTGCTCCAATTTTTTTGTTGCTCATTCGTTTGTTTATTTA